AAGAAAAAAAAAAAAGAAAAGAAAAGAAAAGAAAAAGAAGTGGCACTGATTGTTGTGTGTTGATTTTTATACCCTACAACTTTACTGGATTCATTTCTTATTTCTAATAGGCTTTTTTGGCGGAGTCTTCAGGGTTTTTAATGAATTTATGTCATCCACAAACAGAAATAATTTTACTTCTTTTCTGGTTTGAGTACTTTTAATTTCTTTTCCCTGTCTATCTACTCTAGCTAGGATTTCTAGTATCATGCTGAATAGACATGGTGAGTGTGGATACTCTTGTCTTGTTCTGCTCTTAGAGGAAAAGTTTTTTTGTGTTTCACCATTGAGTGTGATGTTAGCCGTGGGCTTTTTATATATGGCCTTTATTATGTTGGGGTAATTTCCTAATTTGTTGAATATTTTTATCATGAAATGTGAAGCAGGTTCACTGTGCACTGGCTACTAACTTGTCTGAGTCCAGTGAGACAGAACACGCATGCATACAACAAGGTTTATTGCATACAACAACATGAAACAGGTTTATTAATTACAAATAAGCAAGGGACAACAGAAGCTTAGGTTTCATTGCAAACAGGTTCCTCAAGGCTCAGGAAAGTTGCCTAGGGTGGATGGGGTATCATCTGCATGTGGTCCAATTGTACCACACCAGAGGCACCTGAGAAATTACCATGCCCTAGGTTTTAGACCCCAGGATGATGTGACACCCTGGGCTAAAAAGTACTGAAGGACACTGTTTCTAGGGGGTATCTGAAATACAGCCAGCCTGTTCCAGCCATTTCATTCCTATCTGAAGATGTTACATTCCCAGTATGTTCTACGGTTATTCTTGAGAACCACAAACAAGAAAGTGGAGAGAACTGGGTTGGTCCAAGACCACCCGGAGAACCATCCTGCATGAAAGGATGTTGAATGTTGTCAGATTCTTTTTCTGCATCTATTGAGATGATCATGTAATTTTTATCCCTCATTTTGTTATGTAGTGTGTCACATTAATTTATTTTTATATGTTAAAACATCCTTGCATCCCAGGGATAACTTCCACTTGGTTATTGTATATGATCCTATTAGTGAGCTATTGAATTTGGTTTGCTAATATTTCACTGAGGATTTTTGCATCTATGTCCATCAGGAATATTGGTCTGCATACCTTCTTGTAGTGTCCTTGTCTGGCTTTGGTATCAGGGTAATAATGGCTTCATAAAATAAGTTTAGAGGTATTCCCCTTTCAGTTTTTTTGGAATAATTTAAGAAGGATTAGAGTTAATTCTTCTTTAAATGGTTGGTAGAACTCATTAGTGAAGGTGTCAGGTCCTTTGCTTTTCTTTGTTAGGAGGTTTTGGATTATCTAATCAATTTCCTTACCAGTTATAAATCTGTTTCGATTTTTCTGTTTCTTCATGATTCACTCTTGGTAGGTTGTATGTTTATATAAATTTATGCATTTCTTCTTGGTTATCCAATTTGTTGGTGTATAATTTTTTTAATAGTCTCTTAAGATTCTTCTTATTTCTGTGGCATCAATTGTAATGTCTTCTCTTACATTTTTATTTTATTTGAATCTTCTCTCTTCTTTTTCAGTCTAACTAAAAGTTTGTCAATTTAGCTTATGTTTTCA